TATGTTAGCGGGACTGTTTCGCTTCAATTAAATCTGTAAATTTTCCGATAAAATTATTTATTTATGGTTTCTTTGTATCACTGTTAACATTATTATTATTGCATCATTATACATGTAGTATATCAATCGAACGTTCGAATGTGTATGTGAATAAGTTGTGCCGCATTGTGGCTGATTCTAACAATGTAATCAATTATTGATTGTACAATATTGCGTTACTTAACACAATATACGCGTACGTTTGGTGTAGCATAATCAGTACGCCATCATTAATTAGTGTATTAAGTCTATTTTAAAATATCTACATAGTACACGGTAGAATTTGATCTATAATTTCACGTACCGCGTGATATGGAAGATATACTTGCACAACACTAGAATTACTTTATTTATTATTTTTTTCAAAAATATCACGTAAGATCCCACTATGTTACTTATTCAGAATTAATTACCATAAACATTTTGCTTTTGGGATGAGGCCCTTCTCAAATATCAAATGAATACAGAGAGCGTGTTATGACACATTAAATGCGACTAATCTCAAATTATAATAAGCGCGTTTCTACTCAATGTTGCATACTCAATGTAACAGCAACAACATACCATGAAATATGTAATTTAATCGGCCGTTATACAGAAATACGTCGTGGTACGTACAATAACATACACATACATTATCCAATTAAATTGAAAATATCAGCAGAACAAAAATTTGTCACAGTTTTTATCACGGACTTCCCGTTATATACAATGAATACCTAGATCTATATTGTAATAATTAATATGTAACTGTAATTTATAATTAAAAATTACAGATTAATTATAGAATTATATATATTGATATGTAACTCTGTAATTATAAATTATGCAGATTATATGAATATATAAATCTATAATTACAAATTACAGATTATTAAGGAAATAGTAATTATTTATAATATGATTTGAATAAACCGTCGTTATATACGAATATGCTTAATTTTTAAATTAAAAAGCCTGATTTCTATTATATCGAGATTTCAAAAATAATGTGCTGATCCCACAGAGTTAATCATTGCATGTATTCTGTATAATATTGGTGTAATATTATATAGTACTCTCAATTTTTTAAGTCTTGCTATCATTATTAAAATACTTAAGCTTCCCTTTCTCTTGTATGAATGATATCACTTAAATCCCTTCGCACAAGTTTCTCTCCTCTCTCTCTCTCTCTCTCTCTCTCTCTCTGTTCCCTCCTTTCTTCAACTTCTATCCTCTTCATTCTCACTTATGCGGTTCACTTCCAGGGTAAACATTTGTATAACTTTCACCTCGCTTCACATTCGCTCGCGTCTTGCCACGAATAGTTCAAAGTAAACGCGCGTAATTGTTTACTTGCACCTCACCAAGAATTTAAGGTCTTCCGCTCGTCAATTTTCCTAATTAGCGCTAATTATCCAAGCGCATGCGTGCGGAAAGTTACGAGCGGGATCAATTTTGCGCGCTGAGCTTATTCTGCAACTCATACCAATAACGATGTAAAATCATATGATTGTGTAAGATTATCGGTATTGTAAACAATGTAAGAGTAACTCTTTCAATGAATATTTGTTATTTGATCGAGGTTTACGTGATCTTTCGATTTCGACTAAAATTCTTAATAATTCAATTAGGTAGTTATACTATTATCAGCTATTGTTATATAAACTATTTTCGGCAAGGACGGCAAGCTTGTACTACACTATTGTATGAGCTTGTTATATGGTAATGATTTATTGATGTGAAATGGCGTTGGTAACCACAAAGCGCAAGACAGAATTGAATATATATCGAGAATTCGGTGTAATCGAAAACCTCAATAATTCAATTTAATTGAATTGAAAATGTCACTTCGCTTTCTGCTATTTGAATATTCTGATCTTAGAAGAGATTCTTGAAATTCAAACGATAGTATTTCGATTATTCATTGAATTCTTTAATGTTGTTAAAGTGACTCAATAAAATGATTCAGAATGTAAAATAACTCAACAATTTCGCAGTGATGAATTGTTACATATTTATGAATTATTTCTTGCTGATTGCCGAATTTTAAAGATAGTTAGTGTCAATACTTTACTCTGGTGTCTGAGGCACACAGTTTCTATGGATATGTAAAGAGCTGAGGAAGTTGAAACCACTTGGAAATCCGCAAGAGAGGAAATTATCGGGACGTCCAAACTTCGACGGTCCGTAGGATAAAATTATGCGACAGCTTTTGCAGCTTTTGTTTCGTTTCTTACATAAATTATGAATAATCCCCTAAGTTCCTTCTTCACAGAACTTATGTCGTCGCAAGGCGCGAGTTGATTTTCATATATTAATGATAGCTATAATCAGCCTGCGGTAATAATAATTTTAAACACTCCACGAGTGATAATAAAGATACATATAAAATAGATATATCATCTATAATGAAATTAACAGAAAAATATACTCTGATTAATAATAACGATTGGTATTGTGCATAATATAATTTTATATAATTTTTTTATGTATATAAATATCATATCACAATTAAAAATTTTATAAATTTCTATTAAAAGTTGTCAGATAGATCAAATAAAAAATAATAGTGGTAAAAATAAATAAAAGAAAAATTCTATAGACGAATAAAATAAATCATTTCTATCAATTCTATTTTATTATGAGTTGCGGAGAGAGGGCGAAAAAGTTGTATAGTATTGTCTGTTGCAACGAAAATAAAACAAAAATAAGTTTTAATTAACAGAAAAATTCCCGAAAAACTTTTCTACAGTTAATTTAATAAAACATACACCACGATGAATATCTGCATAAAATAAAATTTTATTGTAAAAGAATTATTTAAAAAGAAATAAACGATAAATTTTTTACAGAGTTTTCAAATCAGTTCAACGTGGTTCAATGTGCATTTTAGTTTGAGAGAAAATATGCCTTCATGATTATTTGCGTAAGAAATACTTAAGAACAATTAACGTTTTCAAATAGTGGGCATACCTTTGGGTTGGCTCACGCCGTAAATAACGGGCGACGCGGTAGCTAAATTCTAGTCCGGCCCAAGTAGAACGTAATTAGAAATCCGCCGCGAGAATCATTGCCAAGTGCCGAGCTGATTGGGATTATCGCGCGCTACAAATTTAAATAACCCTAATTTCTGATGAAACAGCTAACGGCAACACTATTTTATAATATTTTTCATTCTTCAGTAATTCCAAATGATCAATTTATTTAATAATAATTAAATTTTGAAATTATTAACATCGCCTTTTTTAATATTTAGTCAGAAAGAATGCGTTTGATGGCTTTATTAATGGCCTATTTTGTCATCAAAATAATCAGTTGATTGAGTTTGTGGTGGTATAAGGTTTGGCCAGACATTTTAGGAACGTCCGGTATAGATTTAATCGAGACCGGTGTTACCGGGCTCACTTCCGCGTCGTAAAATCGGAAGCGAAACGACGATTCTTCGCCGATTAAATCCACCGACGCGTCGATTACTAATTTTGACGTGCAAGCCAATATTTGCCCCAACCTCTGGGCTATCCCGCCGTATAACTGTCGATATTTATGGAGAACAACTCTTTAATAAATACACATATACTGGCGTCGTGCCGGTGTCAATCGCCGTCCTGATACACCTCGCGAAATCGATAATCGTTTCTCGTTTATCGGTGATGCGAGCTTTTTGATGATTTCCCGATAAACTTTTCCGTCGCAAGCAATCAAAGTTACAAATTGGATTTGTGTGACGAGCGACGGCAGAGGCGAAGATATGCGTGATATGTTGTAAAAATAACGTGGATTATTGAAGACACTGCTGAAGGATCCATACAACCGTAACGCACGATCCGTGATAATTATCCCGTCGATTATTATTGCCGATATAATGTCAATTCAATGTTGTTTAATCCCTTAAGTGATATACTGGGTTATGCGCAATGGCTTTACTCCCTTTTCCCCTTCCCCCTTCCCCCCTTCTCTCTCTCTCTCTCTCTCTCTCTCTCTCTCTCTCTCTCTCTCTCTCTGTGGCTTTAATCGTTTACTCGATTTCCTTTAAATCGAATTCAACGTAGTTATATCCGTCTTAAGCATTGCGATAAGATGGTATATAAGCACGTATGTGCACATATCATCAAACGTACTAATAGCTAGGTTGAATTCAATGTCTATATATGTATAACTATATGTATTAGGTGCTGCGAGAGATTATACACCATGTATTTTGACAATTCATTGATCAAGAATATTTCAATACGGGCAGATCTGTCTTAAATTCGTTGTTCAACGAATGATTAATGTATATCTAAGTAAAAAGTATAAAGCAAATGAAACAAATGATAACAAATAGTAATGATGACGATGATTACAATACACGCGAATGTGTAGATGGCGTTCTAGTATCAAAGAGACATTCGCAATCGCTAATTGGCGCGATGTTGATTAATTAACGCCTCGCAATCCCATTGTGCAACAGTTCGTTTCCTACTTTTGCGAAATAACGCGTAAAACTAACGAGATCGTTAGTGGCAACCGGCCATTTTTACCGGAATTAATCGATACCTGTGCCGATTAATTGAATTAATCCGTCATTCCCCTTTTGCCCTTTTCTCATTTCTTTAGTCTTTTTTTTTTAAATAACGACATTAACGTGAAAATTGAATGAACTTGTATTAAATCGATGAAATAAAAATATAAAGTGCTTCTAAATAACGAAGATTTATATCTCATCTTAATTTGTTTGTGATTCTGTATCAGATATTCGTGAAATTAACTTTTATCTTCAATTACTTTCCTTTTTCATTGGAAGATATGAAAGCTGTTTCTGTCTTAAATTTTTCTGTAGATATACACTTATTGTGAATTAAAAACACGGATGATGTTTGTGGAATACTATTTTACGTAGATCTTGTAAAAATTTTTATGCTTTCTATATTTTTTATGTAATTATTATTTAAGATGGCAAGAAAACTAGTAATTGAATTTTCTTTTCTCTCTGCTTTCAGGCGATGAAGATGAGCAAAGTGGGCAACCAGACCAATTCGCAGGACCCACAGGCGGTGAATTCACGCGTTTTCGTCGGGAACCTCAATACATTTCAATGTAGCAAGACCGATGTGGAACGAATGTTCCAGCGCTATGGTCGTCTGGCCGGTAAGTTTTATTAGTAAAAATTGTAATTGGTAAAAATTAAGCTACTGAGGTAAGGTCATTAAAAAATAGATTACTGAAAGCTCTGCGTACAAATCTTTATCAAATATAATATATGTTTTAAACTAGACATTCTGAAAAACAAAACGACAAAAAGCAGACTGCATAAAAACGTAGCTAAAAAGTGAAATGTTAAAAAATATCTGTCAAAAATATCTCTTGCAAAATATGCTCAATAATAAACCGTGGAAAATAAAGAGCTTAAAAATATCTTGTTTTAAAAGGAGTAATTTTAAGCTAGACAGGAAATTTATACTTAATTTATGTTTTACTATTTTCAATAAAATTTATTTTTGAATTACTCCATCACGCTTCTAAAAGTGATATTACGGATATAAGCAAAATTATTTGATTTTATTTAATCCGTTAAAATTTATACTTTTTCTGTCTAGGATTAAATGTGTCTCCGTGTAAATGGTAAATTCATATCTATAGACCGGCAGACTATCCGATTTCATTTATCTTCTTCGCATCTTAATTCGTTTCAATTATACCTCGTGGAAATATTTAGCAGAACCTAAGCGATTCCATCGGAATAATTTCTTCGCAATCCCTACGCACACGCGCGCGAGCGTTAATCCTGCGAAGTACGAACTTTACTCCCGGCGAATTTAAAAAAGACAGCGATATTCATAAAAGTAAGATAGCGACGCGACGTAAGAGCAGATAAAAATCGATTATCGCGCGGAAAGGAAGAATCATTTGGTTATTTCCGAATGTTGTTCCCAATCCTTCCCGAGGCGTTCCCGATAAATCGAATCGCGTGAGAAATCGGCGGCCTGATAACATTCGATAATTCGCGATCGAATAACTTATTATCCGGCGCGGAAAAATTGCATCGGGAAGAATAGCGGAAGGGGCAGCGGGGCCCCGGGAAAATGGGATCCCGGTAACGCAATTTGTGCCACGGCGACTTGACCTTCGATAGCTCGAATTGGATATCCGTCGGTCTCCAGTTTCAGGAGGAGCGGCACGATGACTGCCGCTACCTTCTCTTCCTTTGTAAGCCGTAACTTCGTTTACTCCGCAATCGCAGGATTTGTTATCCCGGAAAATCATTTTTCCGCGGGGTCTTGTCCCCTCCTCGGGAATGAAATTACGATTGCGATCTGGAGTGATAGATAGACGAACGATAATAAGCCGGGAATGACCATGTGAGGTCGGCCATGATAGATAGACGATCGAGACAATATCAAATAATCTCTCGCTTTTTTTATTGAATTTACTGTGAACTGTTATGTATTACAGTTCAACATATATATATATACAAGAAATCCTAAGACTTTGATTTTAATAACAGATTATATAACACACATTTACAAAGTGAATTGATTTTTTCAAAACATTCAACATTGTATATCTTCATGACTAAGCTTCAAAAATTGTATACTAAAACAGAATACTTAACTGAAAGATTAGCTAAGGAATACAATTCTTGTCCGCTTTAACTCGATCCGTTCTAACTTTAACTTAAACTCTACGCGTACATAAAATAATATATAAAAGGGATGAATATAGCGCAATAAATAATGTAACAAGCCGTGCCAACGGTATAAGATTATGTAATAAGGACGAAGAATGCTGCGGAATTAGCTTCGTGCCGACGCAGGTGATATTGGCGTTCCAACGCCGAGCGCGTCGTCGGATATCACGGGTAAGTTATCCTGCCCCCGCTCTGTCCAGCAAAATCGCAATTTCAAATGTCGGATGTCGAAATTACAAGGAGCGCTGCTAGCTGCCGATAAACAGCTTACTTTCTCAATAAAGGACGAAGACAATAAGGGCAACTTCGACTTTGCAGGAATTAAGGCGCTCGCCGGATTAGAGGGACGCCGATACGAAGGATAAGCCGCGTCCTGTACGGAGGCGACGCCGCGTGCAATGCGCGATAGCAGATAAATTACAAATTCTACGAATCGAATCTCTTTTACAAGCAACGTTTAACGCGGAAATGTATACAATCTTCGACTTTCTGGGGAATTGCTTTTGTTTGAAATCCGGTTTAAAAACGAAATCCTCGACAAATAAGATCGCACTAATTTCAGTAATTTTTCTACTGTAAACTTTACATCTTCTTGTTACAAGACAAAATGAAGAGAGATTATTAAACGCACATAGCTGCGCTCTGCCCTTTGCGTAAGAAATATTCCAATAATAAATACAGAATATAATTGTTATTAAAATTGTAAATATACTAACGGATTAATTTGAAAAAATTTATGATCATTTCAACATTTAAACACACCGGTAATTTTATAAATAATTAATTAAGTTTAAATATCTTAGCAGAACAAGAGAGATGGGCAAATTTCCTTAATTAATAATTATAAAAATTGTTCCTCACTCAATTTGTTTAAGTGCATTTTATTTTAACAAACTTTGAACATATAGTTAATAATTTATGTCACAAAGAGATATATTTTAATTTTGAAAAAGAAAAAACTGAAAAGCACAATCAAATTTTTGTTATGTAAAATTCAATTTTTTAGTTGTCTAGAAAACTAAACGAAGAGAATGGCAATATTTTTTGGACATCCTATATGCAGTTGCATCGAAAGAAATCGTCACTAGAATGATTTAAATCTATACTGTCGAATGCCCAGATAACAACACTAGAGATTCTCTCTGCCGACAAGTTTTCCAATATAAAGTCGATATTTGTTCTATATAAATGCCAAAACATTGGAAAAATTCACTGCAACAGGCCCTCAATACAGCACTGTTGTTATCGAGGCACTTGGTTGTCACTTTAGCGAGTGACGACTTTTACAAAAAACATAGTTACGAAAAATACAAATAATTGTTACAAAGAGCGGACTTGTCTGTTTTTATGGAGATATTCTATCGAATCAAACTTTGATTTCCATTTTTCCATTTCAATATTTTGCCTTTCTCGCCATTGAATTTATTCGGTCTTTTATTGTGAACTAAAGGCAAGTAAATAAATCACGTACGACTTTTTTATTAGTTAAAAGTTTAAACTTTCCAAGTTATTAACAGTAGTTTTCGTACAAAATTTTTACGTTTTATCTCACTTTGAGGGAGGTTTTACTTTTATCTATTTAATATGAAGTTTCTTTTGGAAAAGACTTATTGCATACTATTTTTCCCGTATATATGTATATATATATATAATTTTTTACTTTCTTCTGACTATATTAATATTTAAAGTTGAAAAAGATTAAAATTGTTATTATATTAAGTTTATTTACATATATTAAGTTTTTATTTTTAAAGTCTTGAAAATAATATACACATCGAGTCGAACAAGATAAAAATAAGAATTCTCACTTGCTTTAAATTGATCTTCAATGACGTTTACATCTGGTAGAGTCCGAAGTAAAATAAAATATTTAGTAATCAGAACTTTTGTTTGGAATCTTTTTTTGAAGTTAATTGACACCTATAATGATTCTAGAGATTGGTAAAGACGCCCGTCACGAATTGTAGGGAAATGTAGGTTTGAATCTTGGCTGGAGTGATATTTTTCGCAATGATTTTTTTACAATGACTGAAGAAAGATGTTTATTAGCATCAAAAATTAAATCGATATCAATTTAAGTATGTAGATTTACTGTTCCAACAAAAAGCTATATTTTAAGACCGACAAATAATATATAATGCAATTTACTGAGTTGGGAAACGCAGTATACAAAATTGACACAGAAATATTATTTTTAGATTAATAGATACGTCAATGTTCTCGTTATAAGCTAAAAGCTATATAAGAAGGTCAGCGGCCAAAATACGAGTAAAATAAGGATGTTGGTTTAAATTAAAATTTAGTTTATTTATAATAATATATATTAAAAGCAATTTCAACGTTTCGACTATATTTAGTCTTCTTCAACAACAATAATTTAAACTAGATTTTATTTTATATCAATATCCTTATTTTATTCGTATTTTGGCTGTTGACTTTCTTAGTTTATTATTATTAGGCTAAAGACCAAGATCCAGCCAGACTGAAAATGGCATCTTCTCTAATTAATTGTATAATGATTCTGTTCTTCATTCTACATCAGATTTTGTAATAACATTAAAATCTAATTGCGAATGCATACCAATTTTGAATCGATCTTGCGGTCGAACGAAATCCCACGAGCATCTCTGCAAAATCATGCGGCTGATTATATCACTATTAGCATCTAGAAACGACAAAAACGACCGATATCTCAAATAGTTTCGTAACGGTTTTCTGATGCGCTCTTGTCGGGATGCGGTTTCGATATTGAAATCAAATAAATATTTTTATTTAGAAAACGCATTCTTTGTGTGTTAAAATAGTTTTGATTTTTATTAAACAAGAACCGATTAGAGTTCGTCAATCATCATAACACATATGAAAATAATTTATAATATTTGCGCGGTGAGGATTGGAAGAACTTTGTTTTTACACATGCTAGATTCAGCTAGATTATGAAACGAAAAAAACTTTAATACATTCTATATAAAAATATATGGAAGAAAAATATGTAAGCATCTATACCTCTCATAATCAACTGATGAAATTATGTACATTTACGCCAAGAGTTCAACCACGCCCGAAAATAATATCCAGAGCACCGAAAAATAAAATAATGACAGACGAAGAGCGTCGTATCAACCGGCCCGCACCTCGCACATATACTTGCACTTACGATCGCGCATTTCGCTATCGCGGTTTTTATGACCAGAATAAATTTCGTCGCGGAACGGTCTCTTGAGCGCCGATATCGAACTCCCGCACCCGTCTCGCGTGCACAAATGCACACATAACACCTCCGCCGTCCCCTTACGTATGACATGCGCGCAGACAGCGATTTAAATTCCGGAATAAACGTTACGGCGATGACGAGTTACGTTACGGGGATCGAAGATCGATACGATCGACACGACGATCTCCTTTCGACCGATACGCCGCCCCTGAAAATGTGAGGGGTGGGATTAAGCTTTGAGATATGGGGATGATATAGTGCTTTATCGGAGAGTCGAGCTCCGAAGCGCTAAATGTTTCGGGAGATCGACGGGGGGGGGGGATCGCTGTGTAATACATGATAAATTCACTCTTGCTTGAAAAACGAGAAATAGATAGATCTGGAAATTAAAATTTGAGAATAAAAAATTATGTCAAGTTGTGATCCTAACAGCGATAATAATGCGAAAACATATTATGTTTCCGTACGATAAAACATCTGCTAAATTATTTCAAATATTTATTTTTTTTAGAATAACACGCATATATACTGGATTTTTCGAATTTTAAATAAAACTATCGACATTCTATAATCGGTGTAGCAAAGAATTTAAAAAATTATATTACATAACTACGTTTAATTGAAATTTCTACGAAAACGAGAATTTTCAATCCTAATGGTTCAAAAATATGATCGATAAATTAAAAAATAAAAAAATTAAAAATATAAATATATATACATTTTTAATCGTACATAATTTCAGTTTTATTGTCGGAATGCTACATAAAAAGAAAGAAGAAAAAGATGAAGAAATCTGATGGACATACTTTATAAACAAAAGAGTAACACAATTTATTAGTGTATTATTAGTGTATTTCACGACAAGTGTATATTAGCCTGAGATTCGATTTTTTTTAAATCTCTGTTCAACAACCGGTGTATACTGAAGAATGAGCTGATAACAATAGCGACGATGAAAGCTATGAACATCTCTTGCGCCGAGCTTCGCGATGAAGCGGAGCGAGAGGGAGGGCAGATTCGCACGGACAGTATTTGCATTCTAGCGCGTACACGCCCGCGCACACGTCTGTGTGAGTGCGAGTGTGCGTATTGGTTAGATTTACATATTTGTTTCGGCATAATGAATTCCATGCATGGTCAGCTGCTAACCACGCAAAAGTTATTACGGGTACACAGATTACAGGTCGCGTCCGTGCGACTTGCCGCTCCGGCAAAATCGACCGGCAACAACGCGCACTTGTTTTTATATTAATTTGGTTTGCAAAAATGTTTAATATTCCCCGGAGCTGTATTTAATTGTTCGGAAATGTCGTTATTTAATTTGGAGATTTTTTGCTCTCCAGCTAAAGTTTGTTCAATTAAATAAGATACAAGCCGTTTTCGGTCTAAGCTTAGAGCTTAGGCAGCTCAATATTAATTTCCATGTATATGTATTACTATAATACATATATACATATAAATTACAGTGCCAGACTAGAGTCATTAAGCTCAACAGGGTCTTCTTTCCCCGCTAATTTTTCCAAGCCCGTTTCCTTGGCAGTGGTTTCGCTAGATAGTAGATAGGGACAGTGGGAATCTCGTTAATCCATTCATGCGCGTCACTAATTAGATGACGAGGCATTTGGCTACTATATAGAGAGTCATAGTTACTCCCGCTGTTTACCCGCGCTTGCTTGAATTTCTTCACGTTGACATTCAGAGCACTGGGCAGAAATCACATTGCGTCAACACCCGCGAGGGCCATCGCAACGGAAATTAATATTGAGCTGCCTAAGATCTAAGCTTAGACCGAAAACGGCTTATATCTTATTCGATTGTGTATCATAGCGGTCTTGTTTTTTCTCTTATTATTTGGTCAATTAAAATTTTGTTCTATGTATTTTGCGCGGGGATAGTTTTCTGGAGAAAAAAAAGAGTTGATGCTTGAAAAAGTTCGTAGCTATACGAACGATAACGCTCTTCCAATGTATTATACATATTTTTCAAATGTTTGTGAATATTCCTAGAAATCGCGCGGTTCTCTTTCTTGTTTAATTTTTTTTATAATTTCAATCATTTATTTTGCAGTTCTCTCATGTATAAAACATATAGGATAAACAGGATGGTTTATTTAAAAGGACTCACTCGCGATCGACTCCATTACTGAGAGCTTTATGCCGGATGTTTTTTCAGATGGAATTTACTCCATTACAAAAAGCCCATAAACTATATTTTGTGAAGATATTTTTTAAAATAATTTTAAGGTCAGAAAATGAATTTAAATAAATGAATTTAAATAAAGCTGTATATTTTTTACCAGCTTTTACATGAGCGTATATTAATAAAACTTTTTACGCTTTTCCGCTTTTCCGCTTATAACTAACTGATAAACAATCGTACTGGTCGTTGTTACAAACACCATGTGTTACATTTTAAAATGTTTAATAAAAAAATAAAGAATATCAAGCTCGTATGAAATAAAACAATAAAAATAATAAAAAAAATTATGTACATTAAGAATAATGCGTATAATAAAACCGTAAAACAATTGAGGTATTAATATTTTTTATCCGAATTTATTTATTTTATAAAATCTGCGAAATGTGTAATTAACCTTTTACATCTTTCAGGTATCTCTATGCACAAGGGTTATGCATTCGTGCAGTTCACAAATCCGTTTGACGCACGCAGTGCGTGCCTCGGTGAAGATGGTCGCACCGTCCTCAGCCAGATTCTCGGTGAGTAAACTCTTCTATTTTTTTACCATATTATTTGGAGAGTTGTTTAAAAAGACTTAAAAGAAGATTGGACGTGCCTATTCCTAGCAAATCAAGCCTCGTTAAAAAAAGGCTTTATATATAATAGTCTGTGACGCCGTAAAAGATTGTGGATATTATTATTCTATAATTATGCCATATTCTATAATTGTATCACGCATTCCTCAACATTTATATCGTACAAAGTATTATAGAAGAGTATTTTCTGTGTACAATGATATTTTTATGGAAAAAAAAATGTTTATTCATAGAAAATCTCTAAAGTGACAAGATTATGGCGGTGAAAGCCTTTTTTTTATCGATATATATTGACACATATTGACACATTGTAAAGCGATAATGAAACACAAGGATGGAAAAAGAGATTCGCATTAATATGCAACGACGCATAACATGCCATGCGATATAGGGGATCGCTTTTGACATGATCACTTATTCAACACTTGGGAGAAAGTGTATCACTCTAAGCGTTTAGCGGCGCAAAAAAATGACACCAAACATATTCTATAAGACATATTTATGACTTACGCAAAAATATAAAAAGCATATTGCAAGCCTGCGACAGATATTGACGATGCAATACCGAAAATATCGAAGAAACGTAAATAATTTTTCGGATAATATTCTAATCGACTTTTTTAACAAAATTATTTCCCCTAATTTGCGGGAGGGACGTGCAATATATCGAAATAATTTTATAATACAATTAATCGAAATTTTGTTCGTACAATTTTCTATTAACGGAAATCTTCGAATTCGATAAAGTCTATTCCAAATGCAGTATTATAGTTATCGAACGCTACGTAAAATTATTAAGAAAATTGTAGCTGCAATTTAGAGGATTTTCGTTACATCGTGCTAAAAGAAAATGTATCTTACGTGAAACGTTTTATAAACTTGTTCTCGGAATGGAAACGAGAGGTTTGCTTGAAAAGTCACTCGGACGTAAATTGCAGGAATCGCGTGTATTTCCCTTGCGTCTGACATCCTAATCCGGCATAGCTGACGTGGGTAAATGCCGGTCCTTAAGATATTAAATTAGAAACACCGCATTCGCATTAGGACGCGCGCGAACCAGAAACTGCGGAAACCCGGCTGTAGCCGGCCGTAGGGATATATACCGCCGATCGTTTGGTTATGACACACGGCATAGACTATCTTACAAAAGCGGCAGGGCCCCTGGCCCCTGAATAAACCGTACGCGTGAAATAAACAAACGACGACGATGGGATTGAAATCCGGGACTTAACGCTGAGTGCAGTAGCAGTACATGCGCGCCGCGGCTACCATAAAGCACTGTAATCGGCCAAGTAGAGTAGGAGTAGACCATCGTATCCCATAGTATTTCCGAATGTGGGCAATATTACGTAATTAGCAAATCTTCAGTAATAGAGCTTAATTTCACATTCATATGGCAAAGAAATCGTTCTAATGACTTATTCGCATCTCTCCTTTAATCCGTTGATATTCCCAATACCGTATCGCGCTATCAAATTTGATAAATTTGTAATTGAATAAACGGGCGTGAAAATGTATAAGGCTTCTTTGGAAAATATTTATGTGGGAATTTTTTTAGGATTAAGAGTGAAAGAGATGCAGCATGTGTGTGTCGGACGCGTAACTTTATTTTATACAACTTACTCTCAATTACATCAATTTATTTCGACAGACGGGTATTATATTATATAGACGGAGTTTATAGAACGTGAGAGGACTGTGATCCTTATGGAGCTTTGTAGAGCTCTGAAATATTCGCACGTTTATTTGTCATCTATGAAAAACGTTCATAAGATTTTCGAACACGCCCATGGGACATGTGAGATTGTTGAGGCGTATCCTATACGTCCCTTGTATAATCCATGTCCTTCATGTCCTACATGTGCCACGTATGCTACCTCTCGAGTATCGAATGCGCGTATCAGCATCGAATTTTTCAGGGCACTCTTCCCTACCTCGCGTCGCGTCGATACTTTTTCGGCCGTCTCTCGCACTAGTGTCGTTGCTTCGTGCGAGTGTTTCGAGACTCATATTGTGTCAAATATATGCCCTTTAACTCGACTGAGCAAAAACAGAAAATTACATTCCGCAATCTGTTAATTATACGCGTGTAATGCACGGGAATTAAATTAGACGAATACATCATGTATTTCGCGCGAAATGAGAAACGCGACTATTCAAGAGGCACACGAATTTCCATGGAACGCGTTGGGCTCCATAGAAACCTCCATAAAACCTCAGAAGTTAACAATCGCCTTTTAAATTTCTACGGAATTTCTGCAGTTTGCAAATTACGCTTCCGGTTCGAGCGCAGCTCTCTCTCTCGCAGCCCGACCCCTTTACTTTTCCCCCAAATATTTCTCACCGTTCCCGCATTATATAGAACGCGCAGGAGCTGTCCACCCTCCTATTTCTAACTCGCTATCCTCCTCCCCGCCCCTGCGGCAAGTCGCACTTGTAAATGCACGCCATCGTCCGCGCGCTCGCGCCCGCCCGCGTGTGTACGTGCTTGTCCGCCCCGGAGGTAGGCGAAGCATCGGGCGAACCGCCGGAAACACAGTTCTTGCATTAGCCGAAGAAAGATTTCTGGGGTAATCGTGGCGGAGAAACTGCCATCCCGGGAGAGAGAGAAAGAGAGAGGGGGGAGGGGGAGAGGGAGAGAGAGAGGGAGAGAGAGAGAGGGGGGAGGGGGACGAAGAAAGAAAGAACGCGCACGCGCGCTTGTCGTTCTTATTGGCGCGAGTTAGACGTACGGGGACGGGGGTTGGTAGACGGGAGGGTGGTTAGCGACGGCTAATTCCATTGGGTGTGCGAACGAACGGAGTAAAAGAGTTCCCACGCGATAAGCTTTAACCCTTTGACGCTGCTTGTATCTCCCAAAAAGCGAATCGATCTTTTCTACCGGGTGACGCGAAAAAGACGAAAACGCCCAACGATACCCTCGAGTGCCCTGAAAAAACACCCCCGAGAGAGAGATTGAACGTAAGCGAGCCTCTCGATTTCGGTTAATTTACTACTTTGTCACTACACGTACCTCTGAGACAACAAATAACGAAATTAATGAAATAAACACATGTGTCCTGTATTATTAAAAATTAAAGAATCCTCAACGCGGATTTTATTTCGTATTCAAATTTTTTTTGTTTTGACACCTCTTCCTGAATTTCACATTTTTCAAGACACGTTACAGCTTAACTTTTGCAAACGTTCGCGTATTCACGGATTAGTGCAAAAACGCATTCTTTTTTTCTTTTAATTCCGGAAGTTTTGGAGAACTCAGATTAATATTAATTGTGATATTCACTTCGCGAACGTCATCAACGTTTAATGTCGACTATCCGGAAGACGAGGGTCACATGACGAGAGTAATGCACGGCATATGCAAATACCGTGTGGACGATGATTTATTATACTAATCTCGTTACGAATTAATGTGCTGATTTATGATGCCGCGGTCCTTTTTCACTCTTCGCAAGGTGTCCCAACGCCGCTTGAAAACGCGGCATAAGTCATCCCCGTCGCACGGATTTTTTCAAAGCCGACCCGCCCCCAAAATATCCGTAAATCTAGCGCATTCGTATATTAAAATCTCCAGAAATTCCTATATTTTTTCGCAATTTCTTGTTGTGACATCAGCAGCCCTTAATTAAGCGATTAAAAATCAGATAGTGACGAGTTACGATTATAAAATTTTATTTGATATTCAAAAGAATGCGTGGAACATATTATTTTTAAGTAAACTGAGTAGTGTCAAAATTTATTAATTTAATATTTACCAGAAAATGTTTTGAAGGCAGCGTAAATTAATAGTTGTAAACGTGTTACAGTTGCGCGATGAAGTTTTGTATGTATACATGTACAACAGCATTTTATTACAAATGCATACAGCGTGTATATCGCGGTTTGTTCAATGCAAAAATACTATATAAACGAATATATAGGTACAGGGTAATTCGGTGAGTACCTCGCAATAATCTCGATGCATTATTTGTGAACAAGTTTGCGAATTGCTCATGTAAATTGATACCTTTCCATTAATTTGAACTCCTGTACGCGCACCCCAGATATTTGTCCTCACTCTATCATGTGTCAGAATTTCATTGCAACTCCATATGGCGTACGGTGTCTTCTCAAGGATACGAACAGCAGAAACATAATAAAAATAGGATGGGGAACAGCGGACGCAAGGTTGATAATGCTGGACGTTGTAATTTTTGTCCTTCCGGTGCTGAAATCCGATATGAAACTGAAGCACTACCGTCTTTTCGGGTTGGAACATAGCTGCTCTATTTTTATTTCTTGTTTCTATTTCATTAATGGGCGGCTCCTTTTTTTCGAGGTTGAATCATAAACACTTAATTACATAAGTGCATTAAGATATTATTTTCAACGTGAAAGCACAATATACGCTGTTGGAATTAGGAAAAATCCGATGTTCGAACGAATAGAAGAATGCCACTGAACCAGGTTTCACCTCTGGCAACGATCGAATGTGCAGGTGATACCAATGTAAAATGCGAAAATGTGGAAAAAAAAATTGATATTTTGCATTTGAGGTTATAACAACTGACTCCGCTTAAATGGCAGAGGGTTCGCATTAGTTATGAATTCTAACGGAAGCAGGAATGGATTCTATAGCGTGTTACGTACGCGCGCGATGACGCAACGCTCCAATCGCTAAAAATGATCCGCCGAACGTGCCGCACGTGCTTCAATCTCTGTCTCGTCCCAAATCCGCCGCTAATTAACAGCAACGCTCGCATTGTTTAATTTTATTATGCAACGTTATTTTAAACTTCAGACCCGTTTATCCGCCGCGAACACAACACGTCGTGTTGCGAGCCGGAAATTCCGCTAATTAGGGAGGGCGTATAATGTAATTGCGCTCGGGATCTACCCCGTCCCCTCGTCCTTCCCCCTCGCCCTTCGCACCCTCGTCCGACCCCTCCTCGCCCTACTTCGCC